CATTCCCCCCGCCCCTCCCCCCCCCCTGAGCTTAAATTTTTAAAAACACCCAAAAAAAAACCAAAAAAAAAAAAAAAAAAAAAAAAAAAAAAAGATGAAACAATAAGATTGATCAAATTTTAAATATGATCACAGATTCTTCCTCCCAGAAGAGTTCACTGCTCCCAGTAAACTCAAGAATTTACATCCATGCTGGTATTTGCAAAGTTATACTGATTTTGAATAATATTTTTAGTGTAATTTGCACACCTCACTTTTTATTTTCAAATGTTGTGGTCTGTAGTCTTTGGATCGGAGTATGGTACGTTTGATAACTGCAGAGTATTTTATGTTATAATCTTTCCCTCATTACTCTTAATTTTAAAATCTATACATTTTAATACATTTACCTTTGTGTGAACCTACATGTTTTGATATCCTGTCACTTGCTGCTGTTTCACCTGAATGTCCCCACTGTGGGACAAAAAAGTATATTTCTATTATGTTATTAAAACTTGTTAAAAGACAGAAAAACAAACATCTCTATCCATACAGGCCTATATCTAAGTTTAAAATACTTGAAGAGAAAAAAAGGGAAAAAGTCACTTAATTCAAAAAGACACACACCATATAATGTTAGAGTAATTTGATAGTTTTATGTATCCTATTATTAGTGGAAGCCTTGCTTTTATGATCTATAGAAAACAAAAGATACACAGAGAAACAGACTGGTAACCGCACAATTTGTTTTACTGGTTGATGGTCAGTGAACACACCGTGCCGCACTGACACTCATAGGTATAAAAAATTATTTCTAAGGCAGGATAATTTAAAGGTAGCTATTTTAAGGTGTCTAAAATTGAAGTCAGATGAAGCACAAAATTGCCAGATGTTATTTAAAATGAAATTGTATTTTCTAAGGAAATGTGTCTGCAGGCCATTAATGGTGCCGCGGCAAAGATCCAGGCTTAGGCAGATAACAGGAAGGCAGAATATACTGCAGGAAGGTTGTTCTGTTTGTCCTGCTGAGCTTATCAGGCATGAATGATTTGAAAAGGATGGCAGCCTTCAGGATTTAGGGTAAGGATCTATATTTTCTAGGGAGCGCATACTCCCTGGTATGTGCTCCGTTTAATGTTGCAAATTCTAACCATGCTATTTTCCAACATAAGAAGCTAAAGAGTTACAATGTAAACTCCTTAACCATAGCCATTTTTCTCTAAGTGACATTGCTTTACATCAACTCTGGTGTTACACAAATAGCATGACATTCCCTACTAAATACCCTGCTTTTGTACAGCACATTATCAAGCCAGAGGACTCCAAAGCATACACACATTTCACACACATTTCCAATGCTGAAATGTGTGTATGACACAATGTAGCCACAACTGCATTGGGAAGACTAACAGAAGTCACCACTAGGGGGCAAAGCAAGTGGGGTTTTGAACTGGCAACCCATTGGTTACACAACAAATTCCTACCTGAAATAGTATTTTAAATGTAATTCATATAATTTGTTATAATTCTTGAAGATAATTCTGATTGGTCCTATAATTGGCTAGTCAATACTTTCCAAAAATAAAAAAATTAAAATGAAACAACAAAAATCTCTGGAAATAATGGATATAATTTTTCAGTTTTAGATACATGAAACTAACATGCATTACAATGAATATTTTTGTTGACTTGCAAAACCCTGTGCTTCCACAAACCATGCTATACATGACTAAAAAAGTATTACATATGACTGAAGTACTTTCAGGACAGAAGGCATAAAATTTCGAGTCAAACTTCTCACGCCGCAAATATCGTTCTGACAATAACAAAGCAGCAGTGAAACTTTAAAAGAGGA